ACATAGAGAAGTAGGGTTTGAGGCTTGAGGGGAAGTGCTACCACTTCCCACCCACCCATTGCCCAATGAGGGGAAATCTGCTGTATAAACTGTAGGGAGCATTGTGAGTTGCTATCTATGCACAGCCACCACTCACACACACACACACACACACACACACAACCAGGAAGCTAGAACATTAGAGCAAAGAAATGCTATGAGCACTTAGGTATATATACTCAGCTGACCAAATTCCTAATGCCACAACGCTTTCATACAGTTCCTCATATGGTGGTGACCCCAACCATAAAATTATTTTTGTTGCTACCTCATTACCGTAATTTTTCTACTGTTATTAATCGGGTGACCCCTGTGAAAGGGTCGTTTGACCCCCAAAGGGGTCATGACCCACAGGTTGAGAACCACTGATCTAAACCAATGGAACTAACTAGTTATCTTGCAGAAAGATTTCTCAATATCAAGCCACCCTTTTAGATACCCCGGAGTACACTGCAAACGTCTGCCATACCCTTAAACTGGCTACTTTGCTCCCAAGTGATTCCCAACAACTTGCCGACCCCTAAGCCAGTTTTCTTTTTGTTTTGTCTTTATTTTGTTTGTTTGTTTGTTTGGGGTCTTATGGTGCCTGTTACCTGATTCTGTTGACACCTCATGATTGCACAGGCTAGTGGACTTCTTCCATGTGGGCTTGTTGTTTCTCTGCTGGATGGCTGCTTGTTTAACTTCAAGCCTTTAATACCCTAGACACTGTATCTTTTGATAGCCGGGCACCATTAGCTTTCTCCACCACATTTGCTTATTCACTCATTTTGTCTTCAGTGATCGGGTCATTAGGGTGATCATCAAGAACAAAGTTTTGTGTTGAGGGAGGGCTTGAGCAGAAGCCCAAAGTCTGTCCACTTCCTCAGTGTATTGCCATATAACTATATGTACATAGGCCAATACCTCTAGTTTTATGAACTATTTACATAAGTGCACACTTATGTTTATACCTCTCTCCATAGCTTTGCTCCCTAGATCTTTCCTCTGTTTCCTTTTACCTTCCTCCTGCCCCACCATCATGCTTGCCCTTCTTCTGCCTCTTGATAATTCCTCCCAGCTAGATTGCTGCTGCTCCAACACCCCCATGATCTCTATGTCCTCCTTGTTGTTGCTCTTAATTTCCTAGTTGTTCCCTGTCTATAGCATTGTTTGCTCCCCCCACCACCCTGGTCCCTCCAGAACCATCAGTCAGTTGCTTTCTCCTCAGACTTGCTTTCCATGCCTATCCTATATAGGAGGCAAAACAACAACAGAGACAAAACAAAAAGAAAACAAACGATTGAATAAAAAGAAAAAAAACAAAAAAAGGGGAAAAAATATTTAGCAAAAAACCAAACAAACGAAAAAGCATCCATAATTCCAGGTCTGTCCATTGACATTTATGACTGTCTTCCCACTGATTGTGGGGGATTCTGGGAACTGCCCCTTCTACCCTGAAGTCTATTTTTGGGGTTCCTCAGGGGTTTTGTGGCTTTTCTTCCGTTGCTGATGATTGTGAGTTTTTAAACTAGTAGCAGCTTTTGACTATTTGTCCCTACCCCCACCCCGTGAGTTAATGCCCTGAGGCCTGCAGATTTAGTAATGAGGAACAACTAGACCTCTTTTCATTTTTCACAGATCCATCCACAAATATAGAAGATGAGAAGGAGGAAGCTGGATTCTGCTTATGTCTTTACATTTTTGAAAGTACATGAAAGACCATATCAAGCAAAATTTAGCTTCCAGTTATGAGACTTCTAAACAAACCTCAAAGGTTTAAAAATTTTTTAAAATCCTGGAGTATTTTTAGTTGGAATATAACCTTTCGAAGGAGGAGGTAATCCTAGTGATATTCCGTCCTCCACAGAAGTCCCGTTGTAAAAATGATTTGGAGAACTTTAGAAGCCATGCAGGAAGTGAGGAAGTAAGTGTGTTAGAAATCTTGATGGAAATGGTAAAACTGACAGTGATAAATGATCATCTGTTCATGTGACAAAGATAGAAGAAACTGTCACATAGCTGAAATTCACCACAAAGTATTTTATTTATTGAAGACTGCTTAGCATTCAGAGGATGTTACACACGTATGTAGACATAAAAGAGATTAGTGGTGGCTTAGAGCTGTGGTTGGGCGGAAGGGCTAGGAAACAGTTGCTCGTAAGGACAGGGGTAGTCTTTTCTTTCTTTTTCATATGTGAACTGTCCCAAACTTGGGTGGTGCTGACGGTGGCACAGCTCTGACGATACAAAAAACATGGAACGGTGTACTTCCTTCATGCAGGTGAATTTTAAGATATACTAATTCATCTTGGTAAAGATTTTAAGAAATTAAACAGTTACTGTGGTATTAAGAGGAGTGACATATGTAATAAGTTATGGAAGACACAGGCATCATACGTGCATTCACACACATGCACAGATGTCCATAGATGAGTGGAATGTTCTTTGTTATCTCAAACTGCAGGGAGAAAACAGTCCTCTAAAGCTCTGTTTCTGAGTTGTTCTTCCTCCATTCATATAAACTGACCGCCCCATAAATTTTCTAATTTTTTGAGTTGTTATCAATTTGATCCCACATAGATCTTGAAAGAGCACAATGCTTGAGGGAAGACATTCTTTACTAGTTAAGCCAGTCTAAGCTAAACAATGGTTTGAAGACTTAGGGGATATATATTTTTTATCCATTTATTGGGGGCTCGTACAACTCTTATCACAATCCATTCATATATCCATTGTGTCAAGCACATTTGTACATTTGTTGCCATCACTCTCAAAAGATTTGCTTTCCACTTGAGCCCTTGGTATTAGCTCCTCATTCCCCACCCCCTTCCCCAGTCCACCCCCTCATGAATCCTTCATAATTTATAAATTATTATTATTATGTCATATCCTACACCATCTGACATCTCCCTTCACCCACTTTTCTGTTGTCCATCCCCCAGGGAGGAGGTTATATGTAGCTTCTTATAATCGGTTCCCCCTTTGCACCCTACCTTCCCTCCACCCTCGCAGTATCACCACTCTCACCACTGGTCCTGAAGGGATTATCCATCCTGGATTCCCTGTGTTTCCAGTTTCTATCTGTACCAGTGTACATCCTCTGGCATACCCAGATTTGTAAGGTAGAATTGGGATTATGATAGTGGGGGTGGGGGGCAGGGGAAGGAGGATAAGCATTTAGGAACTAGAGGAAAGTTGTATGTTTCATTGTTGCTACCCTGCACCCTGATGGGCTCATCTCCTCCCCGTGACCCTTCTGATATTCTTGGTTTCCAGGTTGAAACTAAGACAATAGTTTCAGAGGTTCAGTCTGGCTCTCTGGCTTCAGAAAGTCTACCTTCCATGAGAATTTGAAATCGTGTTTTGTATTTCCCGCTTTTTGAGCTCTAGCTCTCCAAAAAAGGTATTCCATGAAAATTTAAAATTGTGTTGTGCATCTCCCCCACTTGATCATTCTTTTATAGTCTGATCAAAATGGCCAGTAATGGTAATTGGTCACCTGGACTATCCCTACTTATCATTTATTGACTATCTGACATTTTACACTTAGGAAAACTTTGAAAAAATTCCCAGGTAGCACCTCCAATGCTCTGGTCCTCATGCGGGGCCATGGCCAGGCCCAGTTACCTCTGTGGACTACCCCAAATGATACACTAGATCAGTGGTTCTCAACCTGTGGGTTGCGACCCCTTTGGGGGTCGCACGGCCCTTTCACAAGGGTCGCCTGATTCATAACAGTAGCAAAATTACAGTTATGAAGTAGCAACGAAAATAACTTTATAGTTGGGGGGTCACCACAACATGAGGAACTGTATGAAAGGGTCACGGCATTAGGGAGGTTGAGAACCACTGCACTAGATGCCCCAGTGGCAGCTAGACCAACGGGTTGTGGGATATCTACTCTTGTTCTAAACATCTTTTACTGGCCATGAGGATATGAGACAATGGTGAGATGGCACAAGGTGATGGGTTAGCTGGAAGAAGTCAGGTACAGTCACAAAGGAGCCTGGGAGTTTGGTGCTGGGGGATGATAAAGGAGGAAGTGGAAATCTGATCTCACAGGGCTAAAGGAATGGGGTGGACAGAAGATGAGTGAGTTCCTTACCCAGGGCAGGTGGCAGGAGGTGCAGGTGTTGGGCCACACTTGAGCTGTGTGGTGGTGGGGAATATATTTGAGTAGGAAGAGGTCCCACTATGCCACATGCATCCTGAAATGAGCCAAAGGTATCCAAGGGATAGTAAGTGATTCGGGGTAGAACATTGATGCCAAATACAGGGCACACCCCCACCTCGTGCATCAATGCTTGTTTAACATAACAACCTAGTCTTGGGGATGTAACCATATTGATAAGTGAGATGTGGATGTATTTTTTGAGTGTGAGGCATTACTGAGTGTGGTAGTCACCTAATGTTATATCAATTTAAGGATTAAGCGTGTAGGGGTGGAGTCTAGGCTATCAATCTGGAGATAGCCAATGAGACTTCTGTGGGCATGGCCTTCCCCTGAGAATTCTGGGAAATCTGGTATTTTCCTCCTTGGCGGTGGGAGACTCTCTCTGCCACTCCCTGGGAGACATTGCAGAAGACAAGCCACATGGACACAACCAGACCTCGGAAGCCTGAGAAGCCACAGACAGACCCCTGCCAGCGCTGAGATGTTTCCAGTGACACTGGATCCAAAGACTTTCTACCTACTGGCCTGTGATCTTCTGTATTTGGCGTCATTGCATGTGTTTCGTGAGTCTGAAGAGGACTTTATAGATTGGTATCGGACATATGGGCTAATATCGGACTTATGGACTTGATCTGGACTGGGCTGGGATGTTGTCTAAGTGTTCAATTCCTCTTGTATATAAATCTTTCTTTCTTTCGTTTGTAGAAGAAGGAGGAAATGGACTTGTATCACAGTATCACAATACTGATAGGTACAAAGAAAGATGCCCACCATTCCCGCCTCCCAGGAGCCTGGTCCTGGCAGAGCATGTTTCTGAGCAGGGCGCTAGTGGAGGCCTTGTTTGCCCCACCAGGGAATCAAGGCCAGCGGGTCCTCTCCGAGGACCCTAGCACACCAAGACAAGAGTTGTGTCAGGATGGGACTCAGTCTCGGGAAATCTCTCTTATACACATGTGTGTCCATGGATTTGTTTCTTTAGTCTACCCAGACTAACACACTGAGGTTCAGCTCACACTTTATTTTTTCCAAATGGCTAGCACATTATTCTTTTTAAAAAAGAACGAAATAGATGTCACTTATTTGTGTAGCTAGCTATTTTGATATGGTCCATCAACTTATCTGTAGTTATTGAGAGAACTTTTCCAGTGAGTGTATGTAGGACTGATTTGCAGCAAAATGAAATTGATTTGAATAAAATCTGTGTCCAGGCCTGGCCTGGCTTCGGTTTTGTGACTAGAAGACTTAAGTGAGCAACATAATTATAGAAAAGGATCCAAGAGCTCTGTGCCCATTGCTGTCAGATGTACTGTGAGTTTGCAAGTAATTAGATAATGCAAAGATATGAGCATTCTATCCAATTATTTTTGGCTATCCTATTAGTTTCTCTATAGTCATATTTACGAAGTTACAAAATGATTGGCAAAATATCAAAATATATGTAAGCTAAGTGAGGGCATAATAAGCATAAAAATATGTAATCTATCAAAACCTCAGGCCACCAAGTTGGAAGTGAAAACTGAACAGCCTTGCAATGTTTCAAGGTATAGTCAAAGATGCTTGCAGTTAGCAGGTGAGTCAATTAATTGGCTGATAATGGTTTCTAACTGAATTTCTTTCATTTAAAACAGTCTAAGTCTTAAATGAAAATGTTCTAAATAATTATAAAATTACAAAAATTTTGAGGGAAAGGCATGGGGCTTTCATTTGACCTCCTCCAGCGTCCATGAGAAGGAGAATCCATCTCTCCACCAGCCCAAGGTGGGCTGCCATAAGGCGGAGGGGAGGCATCCATCTACTCTCCATTCTTTTTTAGCCGATTCTAACACCGATTGTTCCTCCCATGCACCCTGCTTCTGTTCTGGGTTCAGTAATCTGGTGCCGTGACCACACAGAACTCAGAGGCAATGTGGTTATGGGGATTTACTAGTGAAGTTAACAGGTGATGCTCATAAACATTAAGAGATGCAGCATATCTCTTCTGCCAGTAGCCAAGTCTCTATCTCCGGTCCTCCGCCTCTCAGGCACACAGTTCTTTGGCCTTTACCCCTGTGGGCCAGGAAATCTGACTGCTGCTCCACCCATAGTCTTTTGGTCTCTGGTCTCGGTGTGTACTCCCTGGTAACTCTTCTTTATTGATGGTCCTGGGATTTCTCTTCCTGTTCTGAGATGGTGCTTATGCACAGGGGAGTGACAAAACTGGCCAATCCCCTCTAATAGTGTTTCACATACCCTATTTGCATGGTCCCACCCCAGTGGTTCGGTGTGAGCCAGAGATAGGGAGAGAAGAGTCATATTAAGAAATTTCATTTCACCATACATACTTTTTCTGGCCTTCAAAGGCTAAGACAATGTTTCATTGTTTCACTCAGAAATGCTGAGTATTTTAAATCCATTTGCGATGAATAGAGGAAGTTTAAAAAAATAATCCTGGAAGCGTTCAAAATAGGAACAAAAACATATAAAGGAAAAATACCAGCCTTTGGAAGAGAAGACTGAAACCCAAACCCATAGATTCCAATCATGCATTCCTCGCACTTTATCAAAACAGTGAAAAACGCACAGCCCCGTGCTTTAACCCACAGTTGTACTTCAGTTTTCAGAAGCTGATTCGAGCAAAATAAAACCAAACCCCAAAGCCTAAACCAAAAGTGATCGGATTGATTCTGACCCACAGTGACTCTATTGACTAGAGTAGAACTATTCCTTAGTTTCTAAGAGCATAAATGTTTACATGAGCAGACAGACTCACCTTTATCCCATGGAGAGTTCCCGGTGCGTTTGGACAGCCGACCTTGAGGTTAACAGCCTGGTGCTTCACCCTTGACAACACCAGAGCTCCTTGAAAAAACCTCAGAATTACTTAGATGACAAGAATCCCAGTGTCCAATGAAGCAAAGATCAAACACGGGAGAATTTTACAGATTCTATAAATATGAGCGTGGGTATTTGCTCTTACCAGAACTATGCAGACCTCTGTTTACCTCTGGTTGTTTCAGCCTATTGATTCTGACGTTTTAATCAGCATGGCCTTTACAGTAAGACTTCATATTTTCCAGTGGATACAAACCATTTGGCATGTGAGAGAGTTAAGGTTTATTGTACCAACCTGACCGATAAACACATGTGGGATTACCTGAAGGGCGGAGAGAGAAATGGCTCCCTCGCCTTTCTAGTTCTAGGGCATCTTGCTTTCTGATGGTCGGACCAGGCTGCAGCTGCCTTAGCCAGTTCCCTGTTTCAGCTGGCCTGGCTCACTTCCTATGAGACATCCCTGAGGAGAAGCCACATGGACCTGCCCTGATGCAGCCCTGGGTGCTGGGACACTCGTGTGGAGACCCCTGCCAGCGCTGAGAGGCTCACACGCTCACTGATTCCACTTTCTTCCTGCAGTCGGCAGTGTGTGTTTTGTGAGATGGAGGAGGACTTTGTAGACTGGTGTGGACATGTGGGCTAATGTTGGAGTTACGGGCTTGGACAGCACTGGGTAGGGGTTCTTTTTTTAATTTAAATCATTTTATTGGGGGCTCGTACAACTCTTTATCACAATCCATACATCCATCCATGTGTCAAGCACTTTTGTACATTTGTTTCTCTTATCATTTTCAAAACATTTGCTTTCTACTTGAACCCTTGGTATCAGCTCCTCATTTTTTCCCTTCTCTCCCTTCTTCCCCCTCCCCCATGAACCCTTGATAATTTATAAATTATTATTATTTTGTCATATCTTACACCGTCCGATGTCACCCTTCACCCACTTTTCCACTGTCCGTCCCCCAGGGAAAAGGTTATATGTAGACCTTGTCATCTGTTCCCCTTTTCTCCCTCACCTTCCCTCCACCCTCCCGGTATCGCCACTCTCTCCACTGGTCCTGAGGGGTTCGTCTGTCCTGGATGGGGATGCTTTCTTATGTACACTTACCCTTTATACTGAGTTTCTGTGGATTTGTTTCTCTAGTTTACCCAGACTAACACAGGATGACTATTTAGGATTTTTTAATTTCTCCTTTTACCCAGTAGATCTTAAGCAGTGTTACTCAATTTCCATGTAGTATTTGACATTTCCCTTTGATTTTCATAATGTTGATTTCTAATTTTGTCGCATTGTAGTCTGAGAAGATGTTTTGTAATATTTCAGTGTTTTAAAATATTATCGAGGTGTGCGTTATGCTTTAATTATAGCCTATTCTGGAGAAGATTTCACGTGTACTGAAAAATAATCTGTATTGTGCTGCTGTAGATGGGGTGCTCTCTATGGCTGAGGTCCTTTTAGTTTGTGTTACTCAGTTCTGTGCCTTTGTTAAATGCCTCTCTATTCTGTCCTTCATTGAAAGTGGTGTATTAAAGCCACTTTGCTATTATTGTAGAGTTGTCTAGTTCTCTCTTTAATTCTGTTAGAGTTTATGCGTTTTGAGGTTCTTTCATTGAGTGTATAGATATTTCTGTGGTTATGTCCTCCTGCTCAATTGCCCCTCTTGTTGTACAGTGCCCTTCTTTGTCTCTGATGCTGGTTTTTGCCTTAAAGTTTATTTCATCAGAAATTAATAATGTAACTCAAGTGCTTTTTGTTCTTTTTAAAAATTTATTTAAATTTAGTATGAATTGCCAGTTAATACATATATCATATTGTACCATAGTTCAGTCACATCAATCAGTATTGTACAATTGCAACTACAATCAATTTCCAAACAGTCTTTTTCTTCCTGGACTCCTTGACATTGTCTCCCTTTTACAGCGCCCCCCACCCCCTGCCCCACCTCCCAAACCCTTATTCTACTTGCTGGCCCTATAAGGTCATCAGTCCTGGGTTTCATATTCCAGCATTTTTTGATTGCTCTTGGCTTGATATATTTTTCCAACATTTGATTTTTAGTCTCTTTTTGTTTTTGTGTCTTAAGGAATGTCTCTGTAGACAGCTTACAGTTGGGTTTTATTTTCTTATCCTTGATACTACTTTGTGTCTCTTGACTGATGCATTTAATTCATTTACATCCAGTGTAATTATTATTCGGTATAAATTTATTGCTGACATTTTGCTCGGTGAGTGTTTCTGCTGGTTTCTTCCACATAATTTTCTATAGAGTTCATTTTATTTGTGGATTTTCTTGTCAAGTTTTTCATTGCTGTTGTGTTAGTATCTACTAAACCTTTATGATTTTCTCTTAATGAGTTTTTTTTTTAGGCTACCCTGTACTGTATTAATCTCTCTCCAAGTTTTAAGCAGTCTGTTACACCTCGAAATCTGCTTGACTGCTCTTCCACTTGAAAGTTCTGTAACTACTATTCCTTCAATTTACTTCATAATTGTCTTTATTAAAAATTGGTTTCTCTGGTTCCCTAGTTTCAGTTTTGTAGATTCGCTTTGCTTTTGATACTTATATGGGTTGTGTCATGTGTGTTAATCTCAGTTGTTATCTACTAGTAGTGCTTCTCTGCCTAAAGAACTCCCTGAATATTTCTTATAAGGTTGGTCTGGTTTTTTAACAAATTACTTTCATGTCTGCTCATTTGGAAATGCCCTAATTTCACTATTGTATTTGATGGACAATCTTACTGGTTTGGCAATTTTTTTTTCTTTCAGAATTTTATATACATTATCCCATTGCCTTCTTGCCTGCGTGGTTTCCACTGAGAAATTAGAGTTTGTTTTGGCTTTGTAAAGTTTAATTATGCTGGGTCTTGATTTTCTTTTGGGGTTTATTTTTGTGGGGGGTTCATTTCAACTCCTTGAATACACATTTCATGATTTTGGGGGGGGGACAATTTATTCCAATAACTCACCTTTCTTTGTGTTTTTGGTCTCTTCCTGATCTGGAATTCTGTTCATATGTAAGTTATTCTTCTTATGGCATGCTACATAGTTCTTAGGCTTTATTCAGATTTTGTTTTGATTTCCAGTTGTTCCTCTAGTAGTTTAGTATTGGGAGGTTGTTTTTC